AGGAGAGTCTAATCCTAAAATATTAGCCTATTAAGAGGAAAAAGAACTCCTTTGTATTTTAACCAATGTAAAAAAGTTGAGCAAAACAAAAAAAAAATTATATTCACTTTCTTTTTCTTTATAAAAAGAAAATTGCCCATTAAAACCACAAAGGTATAAATGAACAAACCCACTGAGTATGTCCCTTACGTCTAAGGGTATAAGGTATAATACATTTTGTGATAAGCATAAACTTAAAAGGAAAGCGTAATCCTAAAAGATTAGTCTATTAAGAGGAAAAAAATCTCTTGAACTTATAAATTCTACAATACTAGTGAAACTCCCTAACATGGGACTCATAACCCCTTCATGGAAGGATATGATAGACCGGACTGCTTTAATGGCCACCCTAGCCTATTATTTAAAGAAACATAGTCACCATTACCAATCATCAACCACTTGCCTATGGTGGGTGATTGTGGCCCATTGAAGCATCTATCTTATGCTGATATCCCTAAACATGAGCTCTCTAATCCTATCTCTGCTTACATTAATGATATTGGGCATTAGAAATGGAATATATTTCAACATCTTTTACCTCCAGACGTTCTCTAAGACATATCATCAGGAATCTCAATTGCTGCTCGCATAAATGAGCTTTCTTGTACTCGGCAATTGACTCATGGCCACTGGCAAATTCACCACCAAATCTGCCTATCGTGCTTCTCAATCTCTTATTTGGAACAATATAGCTCTGAAACAAAACTTACTCCTGTGTGGAAACTTCCAGGTACCTAGAGAGTGAGGACTTTTCTCTGGCTCCTCACAGATTCATAAAGATACAGAAGGGAAATGACATTGGATCAGTGATTTACTCTTTGTCATGGGGCATAGAAGATATTAACCATATCTTTAGGGATTGCCCCTTGGCTTTCGTTTGCATGGAGCATAATTCTTCCAGCTGACATGTGTATTGCTCCAAGTAATTAATTAAAAATACTGAGATTTAAATTTCTCCTAATCTCACCCCATTTATGAGATACAGGCAAGGAGAAGGCTGTCACTTAGATGTTGAAGCTAATTTTGAGACATTTTGTGTATATTGTTGGGCGATAAATTGATAAATTACATATATGGAGCACTCTGGTGTTTGTTTCTGTTGGAGAAGACTAAATATTAAAACAGTGCATGCAAATGAATAGTGCAATATCTTGTTCATTCTATAAATGATAATTATTTTATATGTGGTATCGGATATTGATTACAGTTAGAGCCAGGCCTAAACTGTATCGATATATCGATTCCAGTTTGATATTTTATTCGTACAGTAGAGGAAATCTTAAGTTTTAGAATGGCTCATAACAGAGTAATTTATTCGATTTTTGTAGCTTGAGTTTTGATTTGTGAAATTTTTATCTCGAGGTTCTGAATGCACTTGAAAAACTATTCGTGTTCAGCATTGTGTATCCATGGAAGTTAGCGTTACGCTTTACTTACCCAAGCAAAGCTGCATGCACATATTTTTGGACCATGTTTGGTCCATCCTTAGTGGATGAGGCCCAAATCCAAAACATTTGAGGATCCAGATGCTAATGAACAGAACTTCAGGTACTTATCGAGGATATGCCCATTATATTTCAAATGCATGAGAAACCAGTTAGGATGGTGGGTAGTTATGGCAGAGAATCGTGGGGAACATAATCAATTTTTAAACGCACCAAAACCTCCCAATTTGAAAGTTACGATAACAGAAGACTTCATTTGAGAACATTGGTCCTGCGTCTCTGCTATCTTCTTTGTGAGTTCTGAGTCTAGTGAAAGGAAGCTAGTTTCTCCTACCATGACAAATTAAAGTTTGAGTTTCTACTGTGAGAGGTGTCCACATTTACTGTCCGACGGTACCTCAAATCAAATGGTCTCTAATAAGAGGACACTTATGCGTAGCAAGGCAAAGAAAAGCATTTTTAAAGGATAAAGGCAAGAATAATGTGGCTAAATTAAAAATGAAGAAAAAGTTGTTTCAATGTAAATACGCCTATTGTCTGATATAAATATATCGAAGGGTAAGGTTTGGAGGAAAGGAAGGGATATACCAGCTCTCAAGCCCGCGTCATTGTAATTGTAATTACAAATCAGTTGCAAAACTGAGCCATAAAGACCAGAGAGCCAGTTGTCTGATATAAATATATATTTATATAAAAGAATATTCTGATGAATATGACAAAAAATTTCCTGTTTCATCACAAAGACATTGCCATGCATTTGTAAATAAGAAATCCACATAAATTAAAAGTCCAAATGCAAGTTTATTTAAAAGCTTTAGTGCATTGGAAATATATATTCCGGTCTCTATTTTTTTAGCGTAAAATATTCTGACCACTTTTTTATTTTGTCTTAATTACATGCACTTTCCTTCTTCTTTAATAACATACATTATTAAAGAATATTTTAAAAAGATTCTTTATGTGTATTTTTTTTAATTGAAAAACTGTTGGGATTTATCCTTTTATTATTTAGGATATTATTCATTTGTCATTTGTTTAGTCAGTTGGGATTTATCCTCTTATTATTTATTTGTTATTGTCATTTGAATTGGTCAGCTCCTACTTGTTAGGGAGTTAGGGAGTGGATATTTTAGTTGGGATAATGGGTCTGTTAGGGTTATATTCTTTAATCATGGGTTTATGGGTTTTGTACATGCTATTATTTAGCAAACACATTGTCTGTGTAAAGCCTATATAAAGGCTTCGTTAATAGCAAATAAATTCATTGGATTCTTCAGTTTATATTTGAGAGTTTATTATTTTATATTACTTCCACATCCAACAGTGATATCAAAGCCAAGTTGAGGAGAGATTGTGTGAGTGCAAACACCGAGTGTCGAGTGCAAACACGAGAGTCTCAGTGAAATTTTGCAACAGTTAGGCAATGGCTTCAAAGAATTTTGTTCAACCTTCTATCCCTCACTCTGATGGTCATTATGACCATTGGAGTATGTTGATGGAAAATTTTTTGCAGTCCAAAGAGTTTTAGACAGTTGTTGAGCATGGCATCCAAGAACCTGCAGGTGGTGTTGTTCTGTCAAATGGTGAAAAGGCTAAACTTGAGGCATTGAAATTGAAAGACTCGAAGGCAAAGAATTACCTTTTCCAAGCCATTGATCGTTCAATCCTGGAAACAATTCTTTGCAAGAATGCGTCAAAGCAAATTTGGGACTCCATGAAGAAGTGCCAAGGGAATGCAAGGGCGAAGCGAACACTGCTTCAAATTAAACTCTACGAGGTGAGTTTGAGACCTTCTGGATGAAATTAGGAGAGGCAGTGTCAAAGTACTTCTCACGCACTACGGTGATTGTGAGCAAGATGCGGATCCTTGGAGAGTGGCTTGTAGACGTCACCATCATTGAGAAAATTTTGCGGTCCATGTTGCTGAAATTTAACTTTGTTATTTGTGCCATTGAAGAGTCAAAAGATTTTGACAATCTTTCACTTGATGAACTTCAAAACTCTAAAGATTTTGGGTATAGAAGAAACAAGTGGAAGGAAAGAAACTCAAATGCAGCTGATGAAAGAAATGGTTGTGATCAATAATGCCCATCTAATGGGAAGTCAAAGGTTGCAAACAAATCCCACATTGAGTGTTTTAGATGTCACAGGTATGGCCATTATAGTTTTGAATGTCGAATAAAACTAAAAAATGCACATGGAGAAAACTCTAATTTTGCAATAGTGACTGAAAACGAAGAGGCTGAAGAAGTGACTAGGACTAAAGAGGAAGTCTCTTTGCTAATGGTGTGTCAACCATCAAATGAAATCCATACAGACTTATGGTATTTGGACATAGGTTGTAGCAACCACATGTGTGGAGATAAATCTACATTTTCTGACTTAGATGAAACTTTTCACACAACAGTCAAGTTTGGAGACAATTCTCATATTGCTGTCAAAGGAAAAGGGAAGGTGAAACTCCAAACAAAGTCGTCCTTACAGATTATCTCTAATATGTTCTTTGTTCCAGATTTGAAAACAAATCTTATTAGTATGGGTCAGCTTCAAGATAAAGACTATGAGGTGTCTATTAAATGTGAAGTTTGCAGAATTTGTGAGATCTATTGTGGCTTGATTGCTGAAGCCAAGATTATTGCAAATAAGCTTTTCCCACTCTGTGCAAAATGTTAGCTCTACTAATTTTTGTTTTTCAACAAAAGTAAGTAGTCCAGCATGGCTTTGGCATTACTGATATGGATATCTAAATTTTGGACAATTAAAAATGTTACAGTAGAAAAAGATGGTTTCTAGTCTTCTTAATTTTGATACTCCTACAGAAATTTGTCAAGATTGCATTGTTAGCAAACAACCTCATGATAGCTTTCCACAAAGCAAATCTTGGACAGTTAAAAGGCAACTAGAATTGGTTCACTTAGATATTTGTGGACCAATATAACCCAATATCCAATGGAGGTAAACGTTTCTCTATAATGTTTATTGATGATTTTAGCCAGAAGACTTGGGTATATTTCTTGCAGGAAAAATCTGAAGCTTTTATTGTCTTTAAAAGCTTCAAAGCTTTGGTTGAAAATGAGATAGTATGTTTATCTCTCACAGGAATTTATAATTTTTTATGATTCTCATGGGATATATGGACAACTTACAGCAGGTTATACTCCTCAACAAAATAGAGTATGCGAGAGGAAGAATTGAACAATCCTGAATGTAGTGCGAAGCCTTTTGTGAAGAAGCAATTTTCCAAAAGTCTGCTAGCCTAAAGCTGTATCCTAGGGTGTTTATGTTTTGAATAGAAGTCCTCTTATGCTATTCAAAATATGACACCAAAAGAATCTTAGACTGGTCAGCGACCAAATGTTAAATATTTTAGAGTGTTTGGTTGCATCTCATTTACGCATATTCCAGATCAAAAGACAACAAAGCTAGATGATAAAGCGGAGAAGTGTGTTTTCCTTGGTGTTAGCAAGGAATCAAAGGCTTACAAACTATACAATCCAATCAGCAAGAAGGTCATTATTAGCCAGGATGTGGTATTTGATGAAGATAGCTTTTGGCCATGGCATGAAAATCCACTCAACCAGCCACTTTTATTGGATCTTGATGATAGTGGCAAGGGGCAAGAGCAACCTGTTATTGAAGAAGGCACCACTACCTTGGTTCACCAACAAGGCATTAGTTCTCGACCTCAACGAAACAGAAGAAGACTGGCATAGATGGCTGATTATGAGGTTAGTGGACATGATCAATCTGAAAATGAAGATTCACTCACATATATTGCTTTATTTTTTGATTATGATCCTGTAACATTTGGGGATGCATATAAAGATTTAAAGTGGAAACAAGCAATGGATGCTGAGATAGCCACCATTGAGAAAAACAACATTTAGGAGCTTACCAATCTTCCAAAGGGGCAAAAGGCTATAGGAGTCAAATGGGTTTTCAAAACCAAATACAATGAGAATGGTGAAGTTGACAAATACAAGGCCTGTTTGGTGACCAAAGGATACAAGCAAGAGTATGGTGCGGACTACAGGGAGGTCTTTGCTTCGATAGTTAGAATTGATACAACTAGATTGGTGGTGGCACTTGCAGCTCAACACAGTTAGCCAATTTATCAACTAGATGTGAAATTTGCTTTTCTACATGGAGAGTTGTAAGAATAGGTATTTGTTGATAAACCCCCTAGTTATGTAAAACATGGAGGCCAAAAAAAAAAAACATAGGGTCTATAAACTGAAAAAGGCATTATATGGGCTAAAGCAAGCTCCAAGGGCTAGTATAGTCTTATTGATTTTTATTTTACTATGGCAAGTTTTAAAAAATGCCCATATGAGCATACACTTTATACAAAAATTGAAGATGGCAAGCTTGTTATTGTATGCTTATATGTAGATGATTTGATTTATACCGGGGATGATCCAACATTGCTTGAAAAGTTTAAGCAATCAATGATGAAAGAGTTTGATATGGCTAACCTTGGTTTGACGCATTATTTTTTGGGTATTAAAGTGAAGCAATTTGGCAATGGAATTTTTATTTCACAAAGAAATATGTCCAGGAAATTTTAGAGAGGTTTGGAATAGGAGGTTGCAATTCTGTCACGATACCAACAAAATTGGGGCTGAAGTTGGAGAAGAGTCCTCCAGGAAAGCATATTGACATCACTCTTTACAAACAAATTGTTGGAAGTTTGATGTATTTAACAGCCACTAGACTTGAAATAATGTATTCTGTTAGTCTCATTAGTAGATAGGAGATGCCAAAGGAGACTCACATGCTAGCTGCCAATAGAATCCTCAAGTATTTACAAGGTGCCATTGATTATGATATTGTGTACAAGAAAGGAGGAAAGTCTCATTTAATTGGCTTTACAAATAGTGACTTTGTTGGAGACAAAGATGATAGAAAAAGTACTTCAAGCTCTGTTTTTGTGTTTGGATCTGGTGCTGTTTGATGGTGTTCCAAGAAACAACCAATTGTAACATTGTCCACCACAGAAGTAGAATTTATGGCTACAACTGTGTGTGCTAGTCAGGCAATTTGGTTGAGGAATATTCTTGCTGAGCTTCATTCTATCCAGCAAGACCCAACTCCAATTTATTGTGACAATGGTTCAGCAATCAAACTTTTGAAAAAATCAGGTATTGTATGGGAGAAGCAAACATATTGATGTGAAATTTCACTTTCTTAGAGATCTCATGAAGAGAGCATTATTGATGTTATCTACTGCAAAAGTGAAGATCAAGTTGCTTATATTTTAACCAAGCCCCTAAAAAATGCAGTTTTTGAGGAGCTAAGGAAGTTACTGGCTGTTTGTACCTTGAGGGAGGCTATCATCGATAGGAACATTAATTAAACTGGAAGTCTATGACTTGTTAGTTTAAGGGAGGCATTATTGGGATTTATCCTTTTATTATTTAGGATATTATTTATTTGTCATTTATTTAGTCGGTTGGGATTTATCCTCTTATTGTTTATTTACTATTGTCATTTGAATTGGTCAGCTCCTCCTTATTAGCGAGTGGATATTTTAGTTAGGATAATAGGTCTGTTAGAGTCATGATCTTTAATCATGGATTTATGGGCTTTATGTGTCACACCTTACTTTTAAACTATATTTTATCCCAATTAGAACTATTTAAAATCATTTCTTATGGCCTTAAATTGGAAAATTTTGAACTTAAAAATTCATTAAATTCGGGTTACTATTCATGTAACCCTAACCAAAGCTAAATTTTGAAAAATCATAACTAATTCTAGAAAAATCAAAATAAAGTGGTTCTAAGTTCTATTTAAAGCTCTCAATATGGTCTTTAGGGAAAAAATACTCATTGGTATCTAGTCCATATCAATCAATCCCATAATTAACACAAAGTGATACTGTTCATATGGTAATTTTTTAATTTTTTAAAATTTATACTTAACTTTAGATATACATAACTTTTTGTACAAAACTCCAAATTTGATGAAATACACTTGTTCTAAAGATAAAAAAATATAACCTATAAGCTGGCCATGTTTAAGCTCAAATCTCATTCATTTGAGAATTTTGTTAGTACAAAAATGAGGTATTTTTAGGGTTCTTTTATCCCCTTTTCATGTTTTTCTTGATTTTTCTTGTCTTTAAACCCCATAGGACCATTTCAATCACATAGCACATGTTTAAACATGATTCCTTGATCAAATATTCACATGCATGATATCCTTGATCAATATTATAATAATTTACAATAATTCATACATAATTTACAAAATATTCCTCAAGAGGTGTTAAACTCAATTCTCTCCCAAGATAATCTCCTTTCCTTTCTCTTTGCTTGGTCCAACCCTTAGTTGGTTGATATTTGAACATAAAAGAATGAGATTTCATAAGAAATCTCAGTAGCAATAAATTATAATTATCATGTTAATCATGCTGTGTAAAACTGTGACATGTTATCATGAAACTAAGATTATTATGCAACATTTCATGTCCATTTCATTGCTATGGAAAGAGAGTCACAACTCAAGCCATTGAACCATTCTACATTACATATTACCAAGGCATATTTGACATAGAATTTCATACATAATCACATAATTTGCTCAATCACATCATGGCCATCTAAACCAAATAACACATACACATTTAAACTAGTAAGAAAGCAATCAAATTATGAGTACAATGTTACCTCTTACTCAAGTATACAATTTGGCCTCCATGTGATTTAGTGCTTCTCTTTGTTTTCTTGCATAATGCCTACCAATTCAAGCATAAACATATACCATATTACCAATAATCCAAGTATAAACACCATTACTCAACAATAAACTCATATAAACGTGTTTTTCCTTAATTTTTAACATAATTGTTTCATCTTTGCTCTTGGGCCATTCCTACACAAGTTTTTTGTAGAATCCAAATATTAAATCAGATTTAACAAAATTACATTCCTTCCCCCTTAACTCATGTTGGCCGAATAGTATGCTTTAGGGGTCCTAAATTTTTATTTTTGATTCTAATGATTTTAAATATTTTTTCTTGGTGTTTACCTACACAAAAATACTTTTTAAAATCGTTAAAATTATCAAATTACATTGAAATAATTTCTAGCTTCAAGAACACATAGTGGCTGAATAGATCCCTTAAATCGCTAACTTAGGATTTCTTTCAAAATTCCATCCAAACATTAATTAAACACATCCTTCCAAGCTTATATTCATGGTTTCTATCCTTCCCTAATGCTTCTTCCTTGTAGTGACTGAAATTGGCCAGCATGTAGACTTATGATTTTGTCATGAAATTTCAACCAACACAACATTTAAACCTAACCAAAATCAAGTTTAAACATACCTTGATGGATCCTTGCTTGAAGCTTGATAATTTTTCCTTCCTTTGCAAGGTTTTAGGTGTTATTTTATGATGAGTTTTTGGTTGAGCAGAGTTTCCCCTAATTTCTCCAATTTTGGCCTAATTATGCTTATTTGGGGAGGTATTTATAGACATAACAAGCTAGCCATAACCCCTCCAAAATAACCTTATTTTCTACCACTTAAAGGGATATGTGTCCCTCTTCATCATCCTTAAATTTTAGATGAAGTCAAGCGTTCCTCTACTCTTGATTTTTCTTGGTATTTTGGGCTTAAATTGGGCTTGGACTCTCTTGACATAAGATACCATGGGCTGCACAAAATTTTTGGGCTTTCTTGGCCCAAAATGAGCCCCGAAATGATTAGAAAGGGGAGGAAAGTGTGGCCCAATCATAAATTATCAATTTCTAACCAAAACTCACTAAATCAATTACTGTTTTCAAAATATTTTTGGACCACAAAAAATTCATTTCTACCAATCAAAAATAATATTTTAATATAGAAAGGTCCCCTGAATTTTTCTAGAATTTATATCAACCTCTAACTATTTATTTTGAATTTTCTCCGAAATCAAGCTTTATCAATAAGATTTCAGTAATAAATATTTGAAAATAATTTTTCACTTACATGGCCTAGAAATAATTTTATAAACTCAAATAAATCCTCAAATAATTTTTCTTATTTTTTTGAAAATTATTGATGCCTCTATATATTTAAAATAATTGTTTTCACCTAAGTTTTCATTGTTTTTCTGGAAAAACATTGTTTATAAAAAATTCTATAATAATTTATTTTTATGCCATTTCCACTTCCAAGGCCTCAAACAGGGTTCGAAACCTTCTAATTTACCTTTTTTTTTATTTTTCAGAAAGTTTGTAAAATTTTTCTCTAATTTTTTCATTTTGCTCTTCCCGGACTGATAATTTTAAAAATATCAATCCAGACAAGTGTTAGATCTCAATTCAAAAGTTATTTCACCTCTGAGTCTACTTCACTACCTAATCTTTTGTCTAATTTATTATTCACATTCCTAGGGTTAAAATTGGCGGGATTTAACATTTCTCCCTTCTTAAAAATAAATTTCGTCCTTGAAATTTGAAACATACCTTAGGTGACGAGTTTTGGGTAACCGCTCTTTATCTCATCTTCCTTTTCCTAGGTTGTTTCTTCTTGTGTCAGATTCTTCCAAATCACTTTAACTAGTAGAATTGACTTAGTTCGCAACTGCTTAACCTTCCGATCCTTAATCCTTATTGGTCGTACCTCAATCATTAAGTCATCCTAAAGTGTGATATCATCATACTCTATGTCATTAGCAGGATTTGATTGATACTTCTTTAACTGGAAAACATAGAAGACGTTATGTATCTAACTAAGATTATTAGGGGGTAGGGCCTATTTATAAGCTATCAGCCCAACTTTTGACAGAATTTGGAAAGGTGTTCGGCATTAACTTTTTCACCTTAAGGGTTTGACCCACTTTTGTGGTTGGAGATACTTTTAGGAAAACATGATCCCTACTTACAAACTTTAATGGCTTCCTTCTTATATCTGCATGGATTTTCTGTCTGCTTTGTGCTATTAACAATCTCTATCAAATCATCTTTATTTGCTTTGAGGTTTAATCCACTATCTCTAGACCGTAGACTTTTCTTTCACTCAATTCAGTCCAACACAGTGGTGATTTGTACTTTCTACCATATAAGGCTTCATACAAAGCCATCTATATACTGGAATGGTAACTATTATTGTGGACAATGAATGCCAACAATAAGTACTCATTCCAGTTTTCCTTTAAAACTTAATACACAGGCTTGTAGCATATCTACCAATTCTGAATAGTCCATTCTATCTATCATTTACAAGAGCATGGCTTTCATCTTTAGGTACTTTATTAGTTTATTGGCATTGTTCATTTTCTCGTGTTACCTAGGCATATTCTCTCAAGATAATGCCATAATTGTATACCTATCCTTATGATATTTCACTACCCTCAACAGGTGTTTTGGCATTATCAGCCATTTTTCTCTTTATTTCAAGGTTCTATTTCCTTTTTTTTATATTCTCATTTCATATTTAGCTTGCCTGAATGCACATTGTCCAAGACTTATAGCTTTTGGTCTAATCAACAATAATGGTATCTGTGAAAAGGTTAAGGGTATGCTCTTTGTACTAGTCAACCACTGGAGGGGGCTTCTATATCTTAAACTCATCCCCGGTCCTTATCTTTTCAAAGAGGTACTATACTCTTATTCTTATGGCTCAGCCGCTTCCTTTTAGGTTTGGTCTACTATGACCTCAAGAGCTATTGTGCTCTACCGTAAGCCTCTTTAGGATCCACTGTGAGCCCTAGAGTATTATCATCTATTTGAGCCACATTCAGATTTCTAGGAGACTTTAGACCACCATAAGATTGAGTAACAAAATAAGTCACCTCCACTTAATTAGTAACTTAACTGATCATTCCTCAAGACTGATCACAGATGCCAGTATTACCTTCT